TATATGTATTCTGCATAAGTTGGTAATCTTCAACCACTTAAAAGAACTGTAGAATATAGTATTTAAATAACTTGGGGTTCTGTTGATGTGAGACACAATTGCTCCTGGCAGCACCAATCTATTCCTGAGAGATTGTTGAGCACCAAAAACTCTCCACTTGGAGCTTGTTTTCTTTTTGGCAAAACTGGCCTTTGGACAAACTGCTCATGCCTTGACCACTGACAAAATGCACAATGTCTGAACTGGACAAGCAGGATACAAAAAAAAAAAAGACTGCCAAACATTGCCAAGACAGGGTAAAATGGCTTTGAAAATTTTTCCTGCCTCTGAAAATGGTCTGTCAGTTACTCTAATGCTTAGCTAAAGTTGATTGCATCAACATTGCAAATGAGACTTTGGGTGATTGTCCAAGTAGCCAGTTTTCTCTGTCATCTACTGCATATTTTGGAAGCAGCTTTATTGCACTTCCTGCCTAGGCAAGTAATATTATCTACCTTCTCAGGCCTTCAATGGAGTTGAAGATTAGATAGTCATAGTTACTTTCTTCTTATCATTTACCCAAGTCATTTCTGATACAAGACTTACACAAATTAGCATAGAATAATTATTGAAACATTTAGCATATGTTTCTTGCTTAATATTGTTTATACTAGTTATGATTCTAATTTTTATATTTGATATCTGTTCTTATTATATATTTTTTGTATTGGTGTGGTACTATCTTATTTAGACAAAACAGGGAGATGATGGTGAACCTCCTTCAACCAATGGCCTTTGAAAAGCTAGACCAGGTGGGGCATGACCTTTGGGTACCAAAAATCCTCAGGAGCATCTTTCCGCTCACCACACCTGGATGTTGAACCCCATTCCTGTTTCCTCATTGTGACCTGTGTGCTTCCCTTTTAATAAAGAAAATCTTTATTATACCCTATTTGAAGCTAGTATGGGATAAGAAGTAATACAAGAATAGATAAATAATAACTATAAACTACAATTAATCATTTTAATTAATTAAAGGATGTAATCAATTAATTATAAAATTTAAAAAATAAGGATTACTTAATTTTGTCATGTAAAATTTAATAATTTGAGCTGTATGCAATATTTGTGTTATAAGCAGATACCTCCATATGTTTAGCTTAAGAAAAATCACAACACAGAAGAAATATTTAAATATAATAAATAATCTATGAAATGGGAAGAATTAAAAATAATGGTTCATCAACAAAGAGAGAAACAGGAAGGAAGAGCTGGAGGTACAGAGGGTAGAAGGAAGAGAGGGTAGGAGAGAGAGAGGGGAGGGAGGACAGAAGAGGGGGGATATAAAAGACTAGCCACAATTTCTTAGGGTCTTATTGCTGTGAGGAGACATTATAACCAATACAACTCTTATAAAGAAAACATTTAATTGGGGCAAGTTTATAGTTTCAGAGGTTTAGTCTGCTATCATCATGGCAAAAAGCATAGTAGCATGCAGGCAGACATGGTTCTGGAGAAGGAGCTGAGAGTTCTACATCTTGATCCACAGGCAGCAGAAGGAGACTGTGTACCACACTGGGAGTAGCTTGAGCATCTATTCTCAAAGTCCACCTTCATAGTGATGTACATACTCCAACAGAGCCACACCTATTCCAACAAGGCCTCACCTCCTAAGAGTGCCATTTTCTGTGGGCCAAGCATTCAAACACATGAGTCTGTGGGGCCAATTCTATCCAAAACACTGCACACAAGAAAAATGAAAGCTTTCAACTACTTTCAAAATGTGGAAGAGTGAAACCACTCCAGCACAGAGATAATGATGTAAAACTTAATGGAAGAAAGGGTGGGGGAAATCAGTGAAAGAAATAGAATGCATGAAATGATGGAAGAAACAGATCAAAAGCTAAAAATATTGTAGAACATTGGATGTTTCTAAAACACACAGATGAAGAGAGGAAGGAGAAGGAGGAGGAGGAGGAGAAAAGAGAGAGAGAAATCTGCATATGCAAATAAGGATTCTGATTTGTTTTAAAACATGGGTACTCGGATAATCAAAGGGGCTGGTAGAAACCACATCATCTTGGGAAAGAGGGGACCCTCCCAGACATCCCCTAAGGAGATGACACTCCTGAAGTGTAGGCATACAGGCACACACACATACTCACATCCACACACCACCATGAAGACTGTCACATAAAACGTGGGAAGCTTAGCAATGAATAACCCCTCTGTCCGCTCTCTAATAGGCAATGAATACAATGTTAGGCTATGAAGTATACATTAAACCTACATAATAGACTAATTTGCTTCTCCCTCAGTGTTTTTCATTAACTCATTATATACTCAGTATGCTTTCTGTGGTTTTGCAGATCCTTCTATTTTAATATTTTTCAAAGAGGGGGAAAATGTCCACAAGTAGCTTCTGTTCGGACATCCTTATGAAGAAAGGGGGTAATAGTCTCTCCGTTGTAGCAGAAACTTCAGCTGCAGCTGTGATTAAATACTTTCCATCAATAAATGTGTTCACAGAATAAGGTGAACTAAGTCACCATATTCCTCTCTGTGGAGTGCTATTGGCGCACATGAATACAAATGAAATTTTGTAGACAAAAATGTTTCGAATTCAGCATTCATAACAAGCATACTGCATTTAAATCTTCAGCGCCTCACAGTAATAAAGCAGACCCCAAATTATCTAACAGATTAAAAAAATCAGTGGAATATAATGGAAAAAAGTAAACTTGTTTTTTTCTAATGTGAATTAGATAACTAGCAAGAAAATACTTGGAATACTAGTTTTGTGAATTGTAAAAATGTTATCTCTCAGGTTTTATTGTATCTTGATGATAAGCCAATCTATTAGCTATATCTTACCTATTACCCAGTATGCTTTTTATTATCATATACAATCATTACGTGTCACACTCACAACTCAGTGGGTACTTCTCTTGCTATTTTCTGCTTCAGGACATGTTTATATGAAACAGGATTGTATTAACTTTGCAAGTTCTCTGTATTAAAAAATATTGACTATAGGAAACACAAAATAAATTTGGTGTTTCTTCACTACTGTTCTCACTCTACATTTCTCTAGCATGGGATATTTCAAAAGCTAATTTCTGTAGTTCACCTAATTATTCAGGGCATACTCATCAACACCATCTCTCCCCAGAGACGTTTTAACTCTGCTTTGCTGGGAGAATCCCTTGTGTCTGTTTTAAGCAGGTGAAAACATAAAATGACAATGCTTCTGGAAGGAATGCTTAGAAAAACCATTATCTGTCCAACCAAAGTGAAAAAAAATGGTATTTGTCAGTTTTCATAGTTCCCATAGTAAGTATTGTGTTCTTTCTTACAATTTTAGAAAACAGGTACTTAGTGTTAGGCCTAAAACTAGGCATTTCAAGTTATGTTCTGTCTCAACAATTTCTTTTCATAGGTCATCTGGCTCTCTGTCTTCCACATGTTGATTCTCACTCACGCTTCTTGTCTTTTCCTCTTTTACCAGCTAAGAACTTCACCTAGGGAGCAAACAAAATATACAACTTTATTGCCTCTTAGCTGTAAGTATTGCTTTAAATACCTTGACAATGTGTCTGCTTTCTTTCCATTTTTTTTCTTTCTTCATTTTGTTCCTTTCTTTTTCTTTATTTATTTTGTTCCTTTCTTCTCCCTCTCTCTTTGCTATCCTCATACTTCCCCATTTTTCTCTTTCTCTCTATCTTAAATGTTCTTGAGAGTCTTAGCTACAATCCAAGATATCATGACTTCTGGTTCTTCTGGTTGTCAGCTTCACTGTTCTGTCACCACAGCCTTTAGCAAACAGTAAGTTGCAGTCAGATACACTTTTACTCAATTAAAATAAATACTTTTTCAGTTGGAGACTGCCATATATATAGTGTGCACTGACCTGGGGTGCCTGTACACCGAGCTTTTTGCCACTCATAATTAGGACCCAAGGATTTTTCAGTTTTATTAGATCACCAATTGTAGAACACATTGCTTTGGCAAGTTTGACTTTTGGCAGTTTCTACCAACACCCAAGACCATAACACCTATCAGATCTCTTCTACTTTAGAGATTTCCTTTATATTCAACACCGTAGTATGCTCTGGGATGCTGTGTATAACCTAATTATCTTTCCAAATTTCAGCTACACAGTGTGTGAGTTTGTTATATATGAAAATCACAGTAGATATAAATGAGAAGTGTGAACCATCATTCAGAAGCAAGGCATAAAACACTAAGAGTTGGTTAAAAAACAAACCACTGAGCATTTCGCTTTGAGCTCTTTAGCTGTGACCACACAGCATTAAACAATTTTAAGTCTATTTCTGTTCTGTAGTTCATTTATTCTTTTCCCATCTTCTAATTATTCTATGCCCTTAGTTATTTATTTGGCTGTTAGAATCTTTTCTATAAAGTAAAAAAAGTATTATTTAATTCAGCAAAGAAACACTAAAAAGGTTTCTAAACTTCGGAAATTTCTGAGTTGTTTGTTTAGGGTCATATAAATATTGGTTTTGATGACTCTGACTCATTTGCTAAGCTATTAATTCTTCACAGAGTCAAGAATAGTTTAAAATATTTTCTAAAATTGACAAATAAATTTAAAATGTTTAATTCATAAAAGTAATACATTCCTTGTTGAGATAGTTTTGAGAATAAAATATTTTTCATTTTAAGTATTTTAACTAGTTTTTAGGTATATCTGCTCATGTACTACAACAGCAGATACATAGAGGCATTATTTTCACCTGTCAGTGTACTTGCTAGATCTACTAAGTGATTTCTTCAATATTAAATAGCTCTAGACTCAAAGCAATCATTAGACATGCACTTGTTTTGTGTTAATTAATACTCACTTTTAAAACGCACTGTAATTTGGTGAATGATTTAATGTTTCAGGTTGTTAGAAACCATCAACGACATGATTAAACAAACACATGTCACAACTAATATAATTCAAACTTATCTGACTCGCTAATTCCTTTCACAGCTATTGGCCTGGCAGAACACAAGAAGAAATGAAAAACAGAACATCTGTGAGAGAGTTTATTCTTTTGGGATTAACAAATGACCCAAAACTAAACATCTTGGTTTTTATATTTCTATTTCTCACTTACATTTTGAGCATTACTGGAAATCTGACCATAATTACTCTCACTCTGGTAGATTCTCACCTCAAGACGCCCATGTATTTCTTTCTTCGGAATTTCTCTTTCCTGGAAATCTCATTTACCACAGTCTGCATTCCTCGGTTCCTTGTGAGCATTGTGACCGGGGATAGGACCATCTCCTATAATTCTTGCATGGCCCAGGTGTTCTTCTTCATACTCCTGGGCTCAATTGAATTTTTCCTTCTGGCTGCTATGTCCTATGACCGCTATGTGGCTATCTGTAAGCCCTTGCACTACGCCACAATAATGAGCAGCAGGGTCTGCATCCAGCTCGTAATCAGCTCTTGGCTGGCTGGATTTCTCATCATCTTCCCGCCTGTGATCATGGGGCTCCAGCTGGACTTCTGCGACTCCAACATCATTGACCACTTTGCCTGTGACTCCTCTCCCATGCTGCTCATCTCCTGCACAGACACAGCCTTCCTAGAGCTCTTGGCATTCTTTCTGGCAATATTCACTCTCATGGTAACATTGACATTAGTGATTCTTTCCTATCTATTCATCCTCAAGACAATCCTAAGAATCCCTTCTGCTGAGCAGAGGAAAAAGGCCTTCTCTACCTGTTCCTCCCACATGATTGTTGTCTCCATTTCCTATGGAAGCTGCATCTTCATGTATGTCAAAACTTCAGCAAAAGAAGGAGTGGCTTTGACTAAGGGTGTAGCAGTCCTCAACACTTCTGTGGCCCCAATGCTGAATCCTTTTATTTACTCCCTTAGAAACAAGCAAGTGAAAGAGTCCCTTAAGAACTTGGTCAAAAAATATGTGTCAAATAAAATTTAATGGTAAAGAAATTCACTGCTTCAGTTTTTTTTAAAAAGCACTATATGCCATGTGAATTTTATGTTATTGCATTTCCCCATCTGCTGCTGTATTCAACTTAGCTGAGTGTTTTCATCTTTTCCATTTCCACTTAACTTGACACAGTTATCATTTTAAAATTTTGATGTCCCTTAAATTTTCTGAGTGTGACTGCTTTGATGCCACCGAAATGGGAATAACATTTTAGAAGGATGGATTTTATTTTCAAAGAATTTATCATTTGAGCGACAAGCAAAAGCTAAGGAAAAAAAAAACAAGTAACTCTGAAAAATCATTTTCCCACCATCTAATTGAAAGGAGCTCTCCAATGAAACCATGTTTCTTATCTCTGTTGTCACTCCAAAGGTCTATTAATATTAAATACGACCCTGTGTGATTCAGTGCATTGGTGTTATATCTTCGTCATTTGTTCTACCTTTTATCATTGCAGTGTGTGGTACGTGATGGTTTGTTGACTCAAATTCCAAAAGTTGCTGTAAGATTTACTAGGAAGTAAAGAGATGACTCAGCAGTTAAGAGCACTAGCTGAGATGGCTCACAACCATATAGTGGGATCTGATGCCCTCTTCTGGCATAAAATCATACATGCAGATAGAGCACTCATATACATAAAATAAATACATCTTTTAAAAAATAATTACTATGATTCACAAACCCTGACCATGAAGCATACTTATGTTGATTTGCTAGTGCCAAACTTTCAACTCACCTAAAGCTTCCTTGGAATGAGCTCTGTCTATCTGTTTCCTGATATATGGATTTCTCTAGCAGTGAAAACTAGTATTTTTTTTTCTATGCCCCAGGTAGTTCTCAAGTTCCTGGCATACTCATAATATCTTATGTTGTTTTCCAATATTTCTATGGTTTAATCTTTATTAAAGTAATGACTTTTCATAGACTTTGAAAGATGTGGGGCAAGGAATGTTTGCTAAATACACTGATATGCATTTTTCCTATGAAAGATTATTAGGATGTGGGGGGGGTGTAACCAACCTGCTCAACCTGTATAATATTACTTGTACATATACATTTTTAATGATCAATAAGTTAAAATTAAAAAATTGTTCCTTAAAGCAACATAAAAAATAAGTGAAAATAACGCTGGGTAACTTTACTGAGAAATGATGAGGTAAGAAACCCAGAACTAATATTTTCATGACAAAATTTAGGTGCTTTTTCTTCATCGGCTTCTTTCTAGACTTTTTTATTAGATTAGATTCTAGAATTTAGAAAATTGATTTGGAGTCAAACATAAAAGCTTAGGCCTTTAATCTCAGCACTCGGGAAGCAGAGGAAGGTAGATATTGACAGTTGAAGGCCAGCCTGGTCTACATAGCAAGTTACAGGATAGCCAGGGTTACATAACAGACCTACTCCATCTGAAAAATTCTTGATTATGTCAATATTTCTAGCTTAATGGTTTGTTCAGTTTGACAACTGATCTCTGAAGTCCCTGATCTAGTATTCTTTTCTTTAACCCAATTATAAATATTTAGCTTGATGATGGACAAAGAGATCATTTCATGAATTGTTCCCGAAGCAATGGTTTTAACAGGGTAGATATAGTGTTCTCCAAGTGATCGTTTTTCTTAGAACTTCAGCTCAATCTACTTTCTTTAAGGTTCATCTTAATATAAAAGAAAGAAGGATGTCATCAAGAAAAGAAAAGCAGCAAATAGTGGCAAGGATGTAGGAGGAAGAATCCTTATACATTCTTATGGGAACGTAAATTAATCCTGATTCTGTAGAAATTAATATATGGACATTAGTGGGAAAACCTTGAAATTTGAGCTAATATGTGATTCAGCTGTACAATCCCTGGGTACTCAACTGAAGAAACCTAAACTAATATACAGCAGAAGTGCCTGCATATCTGTGGACTGTTCACATTTGCTAAACTAATATACAACAGAGGCGCTTGCATATCTGTGGACTGTTCACATTTTCAAAGTCATAAATTCAACCAGGATGTCCTTCAACAGATAAATAAAGAAAAATGTGGCAAATGTATATGAAGTATTATGTAATCATTAATAATTATGAAAATATTTTTTCAGGAAAATGATGAAACTAGATGTCATCAAATTAAATGAAATGAGCTATCTTGGAAAGACAGGAATCCTGGTTTTCTTCTCATATTCAGAATCAAATCTTGTATTATTTTAGATGAGATTTGAAAGTAGGAGGACTATTTGGGGAAGGGGAGAGGGGCAATGAGAGACCGCAGGAGAAAAAAGAGGATAATAAAAAAAATAAAATGATCAAATTACATTACACACCTGTATGAAAATTACATAGTGAAATTCATTATTTTGTACAAATAATATACACATACTTTTTAGAAATAAAATAAAAATATCTGAATGTTAATGAGTACATGTTTTGCTAAATCCTCCTTAATAATCAAAGTGAGTATCTACTCACTAACAATATTAGTTGAGGGGATAATTTGAGGCAACTTTGCAGCCAGCAATCTGTCCATCAGCAGTCTTTTTCTTTGTTTCATGTGAAGCCCAACCTCATGGATGACATTCTACATTCCTACAATGCATAATGGCTCCCAAGGGAACCAGACTAAAGGGCTGCCAAAATTAATTAGTCAGACATGCACTAGTTTTTCTGTCTCTGGGGATGTGTATGTTGTTTCCTTTTTACAGATTCCTCTAGTATTATATTCCAAAACATGCAAAATGTATCTGTAGCTTTTGGGGAGATGTTTGGAAAGCCCTATAATATAAGCCTTATATTATAAGAAAAATCAAAATATATACAGCATTTGTATGACATGACAAAAATTTTGGAAGTATTGTGACTCAATTTTTCTCATTCTTACTAATTGAAGTTTAAATTAAAAAGGATGATTTATAATAATGAAGAGCCTTTAAAGGTGCCCAAATTTTAATAATTAAGTGACTTTACAAAAGTGACTTACTCCGATGAAAGGGATAAAAGTGAAGTAACATTTATTACCTAAAACAGTATATTCCTTTATTACAGATAATAAGCAAAGTAATTTTGGACTATGCCTGGAGATAGACGGAACTGGGCATTGGTATAGTCTATATCTGCACTGGCCTTTGCCTTTATAAATCAAAGAAATCAATCATTTTTATTATGTTGTAGAGACATTCTGTCAACTCTTGCCTTTGGGTTTCAGCCTAGATAGTTCACAATTTGTTACAGCATAGTTTAGATATGTACACCACCAGCCTCACAAGAGAAAATATTTTCCTAGTTAGCTTCAAAAAAATTATATGGTGCTTTCTGTTATGCTAGAGAGGATGTAGAGCAAGAGGAACATTCCACCACTGCTGGTAGGAGTGCAAACTTGTACAGACACTTTGGAAATCAATATGGTCATTTCTCAGAAAATTGGGAATCAATCTATCTCAAGACCCAGCTATATCACTCTTGAGTATATACCCAGGGGAAGCTCAATTATACCACAGGGACACTTGCCCAACTATATTCATAGAAACATTATTCATAATAGCCAGAACTTGGAAATAACCTAGATGCCCCTCAACCAAAGAATGGATAAAGAAAATGTGGTACATAGCCAGGAGGTTGTGGTGCATGCCTTTAATCCCAGCACTCGGGAGGCAGAGGCAGGCAGATCTCTGTGAGTTCAAGGCCAACCTAGTCTACAAAATGAGTTCCAGGACAGCCAGAGCTAAACAGTGAAACTTTGTCTTGAAAAACCAAAAAAGCAAAAAAGAAAAAAGAAAAGTAGGAAGGAAGGAAGGAAGGAAGGAAGGAAGGAAGGAAGGAAGGAAGGAAGGAAGGGAAGGAAGGGAAGGAGTAAGGGAAGGAGGAAGGAAGGAAGGAAGGAAGGAAGGAAGGAAGGAAGGAAGGAAGG